TGTATACAAAGTCACAGACGAAGTTAGCGATGGATCTTTAAATGTTATCTAAATATGTTGGTTCCTGTACCCAGATCATTCTAGCTCATTAACTGGGTTTACTAAACTAAGTAACTAAATTCCAAATAGGTTATAATTCAATTTAGAGGAATCCTGGGAGTTTAAAATCTATTGGTGAAAAATTGTCAAAACATTGAATGAATTCACCCTTTTTCTCCTCCTCCTCCTCTTCTTACAACTATCATCTTTCAGTTATTTATTTTTTTTCTACTGGCTGAAAACAGCAGAAAATCATGACTGTAAGACTTCATTACTTTTGCAGAATACACTATGGTACATTTACTATAAATAATTCCCACCATACTACACTTGTCAAAAGGAATGAATGAAGTATACATCATGGCACAAGACCCTTGATTTTTATTGTTTTTGCTCACTTACTCACTAATTCTCTAACTCCAGCTCCCTGTCACTGTGAATTAGAGTCGTTTTGCTGTATACAGATATTGTATTCTGGGTAATTAGATATTGGGATAGGAGTCTCTGTAAATTACTTTAACTGGTGTCAGTACTGAAGCAAATAAGAAGTTTTTAGTTCTGTTTCTAGTTTGGGTTATTTTCTGACCCTAAACAGCCTGACATAAAGGAGTGCTTTTCTTTGTCAAAGGCAGCCTTTTCAAATATAACTGCCAGACACACTATTGAGCTATGAGTTCAATTCTAATTGGCTGAGATCTTTTCAATTCGGCAGTTTCATCTTTAATGCAATGGATGTAAGATTATGTGGAGGTCTTTTCAATGGGTTTTCCATACTGGTGATTAGGGCAAAGGATTTGAACATAAGCAGGCTGCTGGCTATTTCTTCTGGCCAATTTAAATTGATTCATAGAAGTCCTTTGTACCCCAGGGAAAAAGCAGAACAAATTCAAGTGAGTAAGACAGCTATTGCTACAGTTTCAGATGGAATAGTAGAAAAGAAGAGGGAGGGTATTTGGGGAGGGAAAACACTCTAAATTTTGTAAAATTGGTGCTCTAGGCAGACTGGCAGAGAAATATTGAAATTTAACCAATAGGATTCTATACAATATCAAGGTCACCAGGAAAATTATTTCCAAGATTGATTTTGATCTCGTTGGGTTAAAAGGGCTATGTAAATAGAAAGCATTCTTTATATGTGATTCCATAGGGAGCCACAGTGTGCAAACTTTTTTTTTTTTTAAGTCAACTATTCCTGAATCTCAAAGTGTCACTAAATGTGTCATATCAGAATAGCAGAAAGGAGGTGAGTGAAAATTTTAGTTTAGGTGAAAAATCTTGCTTAGAATCGGGGTCAGAGACAAGGTGCTGTTGAGAATTACTACCTTCTGTGCAGAAAGTAGACTAAGATGAACAATTCAAATTGGGTATATACCAAAATAGTCTTTTACAAATAGATTGGCCCTCATCATGAAGGTCCCTTCTGATATTACTTTCCAGTGAAAGGATAACTGACCTTCTAGTTAGCAGCCAAATGCTTTACCTTCTATGCCCTCATGGGTATAGATATAGATAAAGATATAGAGTGGCATAGAGGGTAAGGCATTTGGCTGCTGCCTAGGTCAGTGCTTCAAAACCACCAGCTACTTTGTGGGAGAAAGATGAATCAATCTGCTTGCACAAAGATTTACAGCCTTGAAAACCCAGTGGGGGTTGCTATGAGTCAGATTCAACTCAATGGCAGTGGGTTTGGTTTTGGTTTTTGGGAGAGGAGAAGGTATATGATGAACCACGATAGGGACATTCCTACATCATCTCTATTGTATAAAGAGAGAACTCCATATGAAGTTTTTGTGGTTCTTCACCTCCATCTCCAAGCTGCTCAGGAGAACTCTTTGTAGTATGCCACATCAATTAATTTGGTGACTCCCCCTCTAAGGGAGAAAGAAAAACATTTATTTATTCAAACAGAAGAGGGAGTGTGCACCATTGACAATACTGTAACAAGGCCATTTAAATCCTTCCTGAACACATGAAAACAATGCAACTTTTCTCTAGCAAGAGAAAAGAGCAACAATTTCATTTTGTTGGTTTGACTTGTTTTGCCCTAGAACATATGCAAAACATCCATCTGTCTCCTGGGTGCTAACATTCAATTTGTTAAAATTTGTAGTAATAATGAAATGCAACACTGATGCCTGGCATATTAGATGAACAAATAAAAGTGACAAATATGGCATATGCTGTAGAGACTAGTGGGCAAGTCCTCTAAGCTAAAATATTTTTGTTCTTGCTACTGTTTGGTAGGAAACCTAAGCAGTTTATACAATGATTTGTGGCTTCATAAAGTGTAGAATTCCACACAACAAATAAATAAAAATCAGCTTCCAACTATCACTCTCAATCAACTAAAAACAAAGCCGACTCCCATGAAAAGCTAGCTGCAGCAGCTATTTCTGAACTGCTTTCTGGAAGGCTTATGTTTTGTTACCAGTCTTGCTTTGAAAATCAAATTTCTTGAGTGATTCTGTCTGAGAATCACCTGTATAAAAGCAATGGGTTGAAAGTAGAACTCAGTAAGGCCTCCTGAGGTTTCAGGATATGTGAGATTTGATACTCAGATATAGAGCTACATAGTTTTTTTTTTTTTTTTCTTGTATACAAGATAGAACACCTTTATACCTAACAGAAGTGAATCCATATATTCATAAAAATACATGTTCATGAATGTTGATAGCAGCAAATTTTTTTAATAACATAAAATTGAATATTATCAAAATGCCCATGAAGAGTAGATTTAATAAATAAATTATAGTATAGTTGCACAACATTATACTATATAACAATAAGAACAAGCCATCTATATCTACCTGCAACAATATGGATGAATTTCATGAATAATTGGACAGAAGAAGCCAGATGCAAAGAAGTAGTGAACATACCACAGCATTCCAATTATATAAAGGACAGAAAGAAGCAGAACTAACCCCTCCCACAGAAGCTGGGGATTACTCTTTAAGGGAGTGATTGTAAGAGGATGTAAGTGAGGCTTCTTGGTATTGGCAATGTTCAGTTTCTTCATTTGAATGTTGAGTATGTTCTGTTTGTGAAAATTCATTGAGTTGTACACTGATGATATGCATGGATAGATATGTGTTTGTACATGATATTTAAATTACAAAGCATAACGGGTCTATCTCACTTATTCATTCATCTCTATTAAAGTAATGCATATATCATTTTTCTCACTAGCCATTTCAAATCTCTACATTTTTACTTCTCCTTCTCTATACACTTACAACAGCTTCCTGTTTCTATTCATCAAGGACCATCTCTCTTTTCATTAATGACTTTCATACTCCACTTTAAGCAGAAAACTTTTTAGACCAACTTGGTAAACTGAGAAATATTCCAGTTCAGCAATTAGTTTTTTTAGGATTCTAACTTTAAAGACAAAAATATTTTTCTTGGAGAAAAATGTGGCATAAAACTCAAAATCATAAAAAAGATCAGGCTTACTGGTCTGATAGAGACTGGAGAAACTCCTGAGATTATGACTTCTAGCCACCCTTGCAGCCTGGAATTGAACTCGCTCCCATGGCTTGCAGCCAAACAATAGACAGGTGTATAAGGTGAACATTTACACAAGGTAGGTCTACTCCTTAGAACAATCAACCATGGGAGATCAGAAGGCAGTATTTGCACAGGGAGATAGCTCAGAGGGCAGGAATGCATAGGAAAGAAGGACACTGGGGAAAAGTAACCACAGGGAGGGAGTGAGAAGAGAACTGTTACATTATGGGGATTGTAATCAATGTCACGAAACAAAATGTGTATTCGAAAATGTTGAATGGAAAATGAATTGCTCTGTAAAACTTTCCCAAACCATATTAAAAAAATCAATTAAATATATATATGTATATGTATGTGTGTTTGTGTGTGTGTGTGTGTGTATATATATATATATTTTTTTTTTTCTTAAGTACTTAAAACATCCTAAAAAGACAACACAGGCTTCAAAATATTTTAAATTAAAATATTTCTTAAAACGCTGGCATATTTTACAGTATTTGTGATTTCAAGGACAATGTATACTATGCTATACTATTCCATGTCACCCAAAATCCTGATTTCCTTAGAAATACACATACACACATCTCACTTATGAAGTATAATATATCTTAATAAGAATAAGATGCCTATTTCACCTTCTGTCTCTATTTTTCTCTCCCTTAAAATGAGTAATTTATTATTAATTATCTTTTCAAGATCTACTACTACTAACACTGTTGTCATTACTGAAATAGCAATTATTGGGTACTTATTTTGTGTCAGCCATGTTCTAAGCAATTTACACAAATTTTCTCATTTAATCTTTGCAATCTTGTAAAAGAGAATTTGCTAATATCCTCATTTTTCAGGTGAAGAGACTGAAGCTCGTAGAGTTTAAGTAACTTGATCAAGGTCAAAGAACATGTATGTGGCTTAATTCAAGCCCAGGTGTTCTCACTTCAGAGCTTGAGCTCCAACCATTTGGAGCTCAATAAGTGTATAGTTACACTACAATTACTGGCTCTCTTACATTTTTCTATAACAGCATGGTCAGCACCGTTACATCTGACAAGTTTCCTTTTTTTCTTTGTATTTGTTTTTGCTGTTTTTTCATTTGAGTCCACATCAAAATCTTCCATAAATGATAAAGAGCAGCTCTAAGTGTCCTCTAAGAATGCAACGAAGTGTCCTCTCATCATTACCTACCATCATTTTGTTTCTTTAGCACCTAAAAATGAGATGGCTCATTCCCATTTTAAAATGCAAATGTGGAGCTCATGAGCATCCAGGAATATCCTTCTCTAATGATGGCCTATTGGACTCTTTGATCCACATCACTAGAGACTCAAATATAGTCTACAGAGAAAGTGGGAGTAGACAAGTCATGCAAGCAAAGGAGTTATTGATGAATTGACATAGCTATGCACACAGTTCAATGTACCACTACAGAGATACAGTGATTAAAAATATACCTTTTTCATAAGCCCACATCAAACATGTCTGCTCATCTTTTTCACCACTAGACCTGTTGGGATCACAGGCTACCAGATTCATATCAGCTCCATTATCCAATAAAAACTGAACCAGGCGGATGTGACCGTGGTAACAAGCAGAGTGTAGTCCTATAATAGAAAGGAAGAACAAAAGAAAGAAAAAGGAAAGTGAACTCTAATTTTCAAAATCAGCCATCATCACATAATAGGATTGTTGCTAGAAATAGAAAATGAGAATTAATTTCTCTGATAAAGAATTAATTTCATTATTGAGTAAGTAAGACAATACTTTAAGCCAAAGAAGTATTCTATATTAATCAATTTTCTACATAGATACACTTATATCAGCAAAATTCCTAGTATTTCTACATCCACTGTAACTATAAAGAACAAATGTTAGTATATTTACACAAGTGGAAGAAAAAAGACTCCAAATAGGTATATTTTTTAAAGGTAGAGCAGTGTTGTCAGTCTGTCCCCAGTGTGGCCATCAAGGAGGTACATTTTTGTACATAATTTTAAACAGTATTGAAAGTGAACAAAAGTCCAAAAACTGGTCTGCTTGTTATTATTCCCATGCATCATCAGTTCTAAATTAGGCCATTTGATAAAGTACCCTTCTCTACTGGGACTAATCACTCTCACCACCCCTCCTCCCTAGGTATACCACTGTTCTTGAGCATGTACTGGTGATGTTTTCACCACAGTCTTACCTGTGTGCCCATCCCTTCCTTGGTGGTTAATGCTTATGACATTCTGATCAAGAAGAAATTTAACCAGGTCAATGCTCTTGCCATAGGTACAAGCACTGCAAAAACACAACATAAAGGAAAACAGAAGACTTTGATTCACCCAGATGAATTCATCTTAGTCATACACTAGATGCTGGTGTGTGTGTACAAGTGCCAAACAGATAGAGAATGGAGAGAGAAGGAAGGAGAGAGAAGAAAAGTGTAACAAAAAAACAAGCCAATACTGTCTTTCAAGATTAAATAAAGTGTGTCAATAGAGTAGGAAAATCCTGAAGATTCACACACTGAGGTCTTCCAGGAAGGAGTGCTGTAATATGTGTGATATTTTCTTATCAAGTATTTCCTATGACATTAATTCTTTTTTCATAAAAGGTGGGACATTAATTGAAAGAGTTTCAAGTAGTTTTACTGTCAGAACATAGGAAGTACAATCAAGTGGTAGATCCAAGAGGACCCTGAGAGCTTTATTCAAACACAGATTACAGGAGACTGAAATTATTCCCCAGAAAAGTCATCCACTGTCTCTCTTGACACTTTCTTGACCAGCAGCTGATATCTCAAAGCTTTCTTTTTACTGATGGAGCACTACGGTCCAGTCAAAATCCAGATTCAACTACCAACTCCACCATGTACTAACTAGATTTCAAGCAAGTCTTTTTATCTCTTTGATTTTTTCTTTTACTACACATAAAATAACAGTGAATAATGCTTTATCTTCCTGTCTCACATTGAAAGGAGATGTTCAAGTGAATTAATGCTTACAGAAGCACATTACAAGCTATAGAGGACTGTTCATTGTCAGCTCCTTCCAGTTGGGAGGTAGTTTTTGAGGAAAATTTTAACATACTCTGGACTCAAAAAACATTATTGTTATAGATAATTTTACACATAACTAGATTTGCTGAAGCAATTAATTGAAATTCTTATTTCTACTGTTTACTGGAAAAGCTAAGATACATAGAAAAAAAAGTGGATTTGTGTGAGATGAACCATGCCTCCACCACCTGTCAGTCAGTTGGTCACACTGTGGTGGCCTGCATGTTGCTGTGATTCTAGAAGCTAAACCACTGGATTTTAAAAAACAGCAGGGTCAGTCATGATGGTGTACTGTTTTTAATGGAGATTCCAAACTAAGATACACTAGGAAAAAAAGCTTGGCAATCTGCTTCTGAGAATTAGCCGTGACAGCACCATGGACCACAACAGAATATGGTCCTGAATAGTGCTGGAAGATGAGCCCCCTACTTTGGAAGACACTCAAAATTCACAGTGAACACAACAATAGACTCAAGTACACATGATGGTGGCACCAGGCTGGGCAACATTTCCTTGTAGTCTGCAATGATGTGATAGAACACCATTAGTTGGAGGCAAGTTGTGTTGTTGTTAGTTGCCATCGAGTCATTTCCAACTCATAGTGACCCCATGTACAGCAGAATGAAACACCTCGCAATCCTGCACCAGCTCCATGATCTTTGCTATACTTGAGCCCATTGTCGCAGCCACCATGTCAGTCCATTTCGTTGAAGGCTTTCCCCTCTTTCGACGACCGCCTTCCCCTCTTTTGTCAACCCTCCACCTTGACAAGCATGACATCCTTCTCCAGGGAATGGTCCCTCCTGACAACATTACCAAAATAGGTGAGATGGAGTCTGGCCATTCTCGTTTCCAAGGAGCATTTCGGCTGCATTTTACCCAGGACAGATCTGTTAGTTCTTTTAGCAGTCCATGGTACTTTCAGCATTCTTTGCCAGCACCACAACTCAAAAGCATCAACTCTTCTTCAGTCTTCCTTATTCGTTGTCCAGCTCTCACATGCATACGAGGCAATTGGAAATAGCATGGCTTGTGTCAGGTGCACCTTAGTCCTCAAGGAGACATCCTTGCTCCTCAGCATTTGAAAGAGTTCTTTCGCAGCCAACCTGCCCAGTGCTAACATTGTCTAATGTCCTGACTACTGCTTCCGTTGGTGTCGATTTGTAGAACCAAGCAACGTGACTTCTTTGACAACCTCAATCTTTTCTCCATTTATCGTGATGCTGTTTATTGGTCCAGTTGTGAGGATTTTTGCTGGAGCCAAGTCAACAGACAACAACAAATCATGTCTAGTAATGACTACTATCTCTTATTTATTTATTTATTGACTAGTAATTATCATAATTTTTCCTTGTAGTTTCCCTCATATCTCTTCTTTTGCTATCACTTTTTCATTGGTAATACTCTACTTAGTAATGAGTATTAGTAATACTCATACCAGGGAGGTATGAGGTTTGCCATGGGTGACTAGAAAGAGCTAGCATTAGGCACAGTCACATCAAAATCATGGTTAATGGAAGGGCATAGGAACTCAGTTGTAGAAGAGGCAGTTCACTGAGTCTTGCTATTTATGGCTTTACCCAAACCCTTTTTCCTTAATGGAATCCCAACCATCCTTCACCCAGCTGAACTATTACTCCCTCTAAAGATATCTTCTCAAGCCCCAAGAGGACATGGCTGTACCCACTGTCTCCTTGTCACTCTAGTCTTTCCATTGTATTCTGGAAATGGATCAACTCCATCTACCTTGATAACTTTAAAACTGGAGTTCTTTAAGGAGGGAAGGAATTATGTCATCTTAATGTCTCTCTCTCTATTGGGAGCTCTGGTAGCATAGTGGCTAAGGCATTTGACTGATAACCAGAAGGCTGGTGGTTCAA